CCACTTTTAACAGCACAAATTCTAATACTCCAAATGACACCAAATTTGACACACAGCAAGCTTGTCCAAAAACAAAAACAGGCCAAAAAAAAAAAATCCAAAAAAACACAAAATTTGACCCCGAAACCCTAATTTCAGGATCAGTCATCATGATGGTTACCCAGGGCCGAAAAGTGGGGGTCCCCGTTAACCAATAGTGCGGCGACGCGGTTCGTTTCACCCTTGATGGGCTAAGTGGTGAAACTGAACTCGGATAAGTCACACCACCAACGTGTCTGTCAAGGGGAAAGTTTGGGCTTCGTGAGGAAAGCATGGACAACTGAGTTGTCCGTGCGCACCATGATGGGCGCCTCGTGCAGGTAGTGGCGCCAATGTCGGGTAGCATAAACTACTGCGAGAACCTCACGTTCATCGGCAGTGTAGTTTATCTCGGCAGGTAGTAGCAAACGGGAGTAGCAGGCGATCGGGCAATCCCCAGCACGAGCCTCGACAGCCCCATCCTCCGCGATGGTCGGGGGGTAAGTAACGGAAGGACTGTCTGTGGAGGGAAGTGCCGGAAGAGTTGGCGTCAGTCGATAAGTAGTGTCAGCAGAAGGGGGGGGGAAGGAGGAACATGGGGATAAAGTGAATTCGGAGGAGAGGGAAAGATCTGAGAGAGGACAACTCCTACTACAAAATCAGACGCATCGATGGTGACGATAAAGGGGCGATCGAAATCGGGGAGGCGAAGAACCGACGCATAAGTCACCGTCTTCTTGAGGGCGCGAAAGGCGTCCTCACAGAGGGGTGTCCAAAACCACGGTGGATTCTTCCTGAGGAGGGTGGAGGTAAGGACGTAGGAATACCTAGCGTATCCCCGGATGAAATTACTATACTAACTCGTGAGGCCTAGAAAACTGCGAAGCTGCTTGACATATGTGGGGACGGGCCACTCTGTAATAGCAGTGATCTCCGCGTCGTCCATGTGAAGACCCTGGTCAAACACATGGCATTCTAGGAAGTCCACGTTGCGCTGGGCAAAGTGACACTTACTAAGTTTGGCCATGCTTGCGTAAGCATTGTAGGACATCACGAAGGTGTATGAGATGGTCTTCTAAGGTACGACTGTAGACTAGGATGTCGTCCAGGTATACGAGAACGTATTCTTTAAGGATATCCCTGAAGATGTCATTCATCGCCGTCTGGAAGAAGGCGGGTCGCCGTACATTAGTGAGGCCGAACAACATCACCGTGAACTCGTAGTGGTCAAAGCACGATCGAAAGGCGGTCTTCAGCTGGTCCTTTGTGGCTACACGGATCCGGCGGTAACCGCTACGAAGATCGATCTTCGTAAAGAAGCGGTTGCCTGCAAAACGGTCGAACAGCTCATCCGCGAGAGGCATGGCATAGATGTTCTTAACCGTGTAACGGTTAAGGCCGCGGTAGTCAATGCAGAGGCGAAGAGTTCCGTCCGCTTTGCGAGCAAATAGGACGGGTGCACCCCAAGGCGAGTTACTTGGTTTAATAAAACCCAGTCCAAGGAGTTCCTCAAGCTGACGCTTGAGTTCCGTCGCCTCTGGAATCGAGAGTCGGTAGGGTGGCACTGCCTGATGGTGGACACGATAGTCAGGCACAAGCTGGATAGAATGCTCAATACCGCGCATGGGAGGGATCCTGCTGTATGAGAAATACAGGGATAAAACGTCGTGGTACACTCGAATCAAATTGCGAACCGCGGGCTCTAAGTCAGTCGTGAACCGCATGAGTTCCTCAACGTTTGCGTTGACACGAGAAGTATGAGAGGACTCGGCAGTGAACGGCAAAGTGACATGGGATGTTGCGGGGGTATCCGCAAGCTGACGAGTGGATGTGGAGATGGGAGCCGTGAAGATGGAGGAAGGGTCAGGGGGATCGGGTTCCAATGAGATTAGCTCAACCTCTATACAAAGTGGATCGTAGCGAAGAAGATCCAATGGCATGACGTTCGCTAAGTAGAACGTGACGTCCTCCTGTCCTATGAAGTGAGCAAACTGACGAGGAGAAGTGAAGGTGATGTTTGGGTGGGGCTGAGAGGGACGAGGGTCCGGGGGAGGTAGGTGTGGAGGGGTGTTGCCCGTGGTTCTAATGAAGGGGACTCGATGGGTTTGACCGCACTTCGTTTTAAGAACGAATGTCTCAGTCGCCCATTCGGCCTCTGTGCCACAGAACCGGTTAGACCAGGGAGTGTCAAGGATAAAGTCGTACCCAGTCTCCATCACGTCGAAGTAGGCGGAGGAATGGTAGCGCCGAGGCGCCTGGGTACTATCCGGTGGCTGGAGGGTTAGGGAGAAGTGGAGGTCGGGGACCGTCTGATCGAAGAAGCGTTGCGTCTTGTTATCTTCGAGGGTAACAGAGATAGGAGAGCGAGACCCGGAGGTAGTTAGGTGAGCTTCCTCAACCACGCGAGGGTGAACAAAGTCTCTCTGCGAGCCAGAGTCCCACAAAGCGCGGTACACCCTCGTAGATGTCCCCTGGTGAATAGGGATAACGGGGAGGGTGCGATCAGGGTCAGAGAGCAGAGCGTGAAGACAACGCAGGACGTTTACGTGTCTCGTGAGTCGCTCCTCGCGAGCCTGAAGGATGCTTAAATCCAGGAGATATGACACAACGTCATCGCGAGTCGCCAGCTGGGCACTACAATGAGTTGTGTGAATGGCGCGACGCGCCGGAAGTCTCAAAGAGGAAGGACTAGATGCGGTGGTCTGCTGTGGGGCAGACGGTACCCCGACAGATGGTGGGGCAGAGGGAACTGCGTCTGTCGTGTCTTGAGGATCCTCTAGGTGCGTAGCCAAAGGGGCAAACCGCAACTCGGTGGTCGGGAAGCCGGCTACGTGCGAGGCCTCAACGGTACACTGCACCGTGGCTAGCTGGGTGGGGCTGACCGGGCGGGGCCGCGGGGGGACTCAGATCGGCGCTGACGAGAAATGTCAGCGTAGTGCCGATCAAGGGCGGCATGGTATGGACACCGTGAGCGGGTGTGTCCATCCTTGCGGCAACAAAGGCAGTCGCGATGGGCCTCGAGGGCAGCACGCTCCTCAGGACATAGAGCTCCGCGAGGAGGAACAAAACCCTGCGGACGGTCTATCTGAGGAACCGTGATTGTGCGGGCGCCTGCCTGTGCAACCTGAGTGCGTGCACGATCCATGACGGATATGGGCATCTGCAGGCGCTCGCCTACCGGAACAGTGTCGTCATCCAAGTGATACTGGGATGACGTTTCGGAGCTCGATGTCCTCGGGGGAATCCCCAAGGGTAGGGTCAAACTCGGTCGAGCCGTCCTCGCTGTACTCTAGGGAACTGTAGCGCCAAGAGAATGACGCTCCAGGTCGAGCTGGTTGGCGAAAGCGGCCGGCGAAGGAGGATCGACCGCTCGTGGTGCCGCGTGACTGGGTGGCGACGACGGTGGATCGCGAAGAAGATGGGGTATCGGAGAAGCGACTCCGCATCTTCTGGTACTGTCGAGCAGCCTCGTAGGCCTGCTCAGAGGAGGCGAAGCTATGTCGCCAGAGCTCGATGCGGTAGTCAATCGGAAGACTAACTTCAAACCTATTGGTCAAAAGGACCTCAGGTAGGAGTGCCTCATCGCAAATGAGGCAGGCGTCCTGAAACACTCTAATCTGACGCTCAAGATCGGTTGGTGCGGAGGAGCCGTGCCACTGCGTCTGGGTGACCCAATCTAAGGCGTCAGTCGCATCGTGGAGAGTGTCGTAGCGGTCATGGAGGAACGCGTTGAAATCTGCAAGAGGAGAAGCCTCACCTACGCGAGTACGATAAAAATAATAGTTCTCCCATGCGGAGAACGCGCTGCCTCACAAGTTAGTTGCGAGCGCGGAGCACCACAACGTCGGACTAGTGTCAGTCAGTGTCAGCGCGCGTGTGGCAACCTACAACTAGTGCGACACACGCATTGTATCATCGAAGTCGGGTATATCCGACAGACGCAGAAGGGTGGGACCGTTGTGCTGACGATGAGGGGAGAGAGATTGAGGGGTCTGCACTGCGGCGGCAAATGTCGAGGCCGGTGCAGTCGTGGAAGTGGTAGCATGCTGAGAATCGGTTTGTTGGTGGAAGGTCCAGCAGGCGTGGAGGCAACAGCCGCAACCGACTGTGACGGAGTAGCGAGGTAGTAGGGTAGAGGGGGGGGGAGCCGGTCGAGGGAAAGGAGCCGGCAAGACAGAGGTGGGAGGGGCGATATAGGAAGAAGAAGGGTGAGCATCCTGTGAAAGGCGAGGTTGTCTCAGGGAGAGAATCTCCGCCTTGAGCTGCGCCACGGTGGTCTGTAGGGTAGCCACCCGTTGGGAGCGCGGGGTCGGAGGTGGAGGGGGCAGAAAGAGTACCCTAGTGGGAGGAGGAAGAACTTCGGGCCGTAGTGTCGCGACCGGTGCAGGAATTTGGGAAGCAACACCGGGGTGGATAAATGAAACTGTCTGGCCAGATACTGGTATCTAGGCGACAGCACATGCGGTAGTAGCCAAAGCCGCAGGGGCGTTGGAGGCAGCGGCGACCAATGGATGTGCCGCAACAGACGGTATGGTCTGAGCGGCAGCAACACTCACCACTGCGGAGGGGTAGTGTTGGGCCTGGCCCGTGGAAGAGGACGAACTGCCACGTCTCCGTCCCTGAAGTCGTGAGAGATGGACTTCGAACCGGTAGGTGATGGAGTCTGAGAGCGGTGGGGAGAGCGATGAGGAGAACCCTTGAGGCGGTGAACTTCAAGGGCAAGCGCATTGATTTGCCTTTCCAGGGGTGCAAGCGCATCGAGTCGCGCTTGCAGAGGTGCAAGGAGAGACGCAAAAACAATGCGAAGGTTCTTGGGGTCCACAGAAGGCTGACCCTGGACCGTCGGGTAGGTGAACGCCTGAGAGGTGGACGACACCGCGACGATCTCCTCAGCTGTAGCCCTGTCCGTGGGCGGTGGAGGACGAACGGTAGACATTGTGGGAGGTGGGGGAAAAGATGGGTTGTGGTATGGGGAAAGGGGACCACCGATGACAAGGAGGGGACCGTGAGAGCGGAGTGGGTAGTCGTGGGTCGGCTCGCCTCGTGACCAGCGGGTCGCGCGTGAGATGGTGGCGCGAATCCGGTCAAGAGGAGAGGAGTCGTTCGGGTCCAAGGTGCTTGACGGGAGGATGCGGGGGAGTAGGGGGGTTATGAGAACCCTAAACCCTAGAAAACCCTAAGAAAACCCTAAGAAAACCCTAACCAGGGTTTGGGTGGTTAGGGGAGGGTAGCGGCAACCTAATCATGAAAAGAAAATAATAACCATGGAGGGGAAGGGGAGAGAAAATAAAGTAAACAATGAAATTTCGAGATAAAAATAAAAGAAAATAAATAATAAAAATAAAGAAGAAAATAAATAAGCAAAAGGTGAGAAGAGAAATAATACTTGTTTTTTTAGAATTTTTGGCAGCATTTTCCTACCCCAACGGGGTCACAAAGGTGCAAAGAGGAAGGAGAGACTAAGAGAAGCACACTAAGTTTTACAATGCCGCAAATGATAAATTTCACAAAAATAAATAAATAAATAAGTAGATGAGGGGGTGAAGAGAAACTAAGTGTTGGCACTGTTGTTTTTTTTCAAAACTTTTGGCAACATTTCGTTACCCCAATGGGGTCGAAATGTGCCGTCAAGAAGAAAGACCAAGTAAAATTAGAAAATTTTGTCAGCACTTCGCTACCCCCAAGGGGTAAAAATGTGCTGAAAAAGACTAAGTGAAATAAAAAACAGAAAATTTCGGCAGCATTTCGTTATCCCCACGGGGTCAAAATGTGTGCCGAAAGCAAGAATGACAAACTCCTAATCAGATTTGAGGGTGCCATAAAGAAAATTCGAATTTTCATAATAAATAAAAATAAAATAAAATAAAATAAATCAAAAAATGAGAAAAAAAAGTGGGGAATAAGATAATTCGAAATTTAAAAAAAAGGAGGAAATATAAATAAAAAAGAAAGATAAAAAGAAGAAACAAAAAATTTTCGATGTTGGGGGGGAGGGGGGATGAAAAAGTAAAAAGAAAAGAGAGAAATAGGTGAGAAAGAGAAAAAGAGTGAAGGGAGAGATGGGGGAAATGATGGGGTTGTAGTTAGGGGGGGAAAGAGGGAGAGGAAGGTGGTAGAATGCGAGAGAAGGATACAAAAAAAGTGGAGAGGAGTTCATGAGATTAGTAGAAATGGTGAGTGGGGAGGAGAGGAGAAAAAAAGGTTGTGGAAGATGAGTGAAGAGGGAAGTAGGAAGAGAGAGTAGTGGTAGGGTTAGAAAAGATGATTAGATGATGGGGGGGGGAGAGGAAAGGGGTTGGGGGAGAGTAGGTTAGTGGGTAAGATGGTGATACCGAGCTCTCGAGTGGCCAAGAGCAGAGCACTTACCAAGATCCACAAGATCTTGGCCTTCAAGATTGTGTTGGCCTAATGCCACTGCAAAAAAATAATTTTTGGGATGGCATGAGATCTTCATCAGCCACCCAGATGGCACTGTAGTACAGCCCCCTAGTCAGGGGGGTCTTCAAGATCCACAGCAAACTGCCACGTGGCACTGCAGAGAGGCAGCACACAACCACGTGCGCAGGCGGCAGCACCCACCGAGGAGGGGGGGGAGCAAATAATTGTCTTCCCGCACGTTGCTCGTTGACGGGGAGGGGGGGGGGTAAATAGTTGTTTTGGCACTTCTTTAACAACAGCAAGCCACAGTATGAGCTCATACTATGGCTTTGGTCAGTGTGTTAAGGCACTGGCCACGCACGCGCATAAGCAACAATTGCCCAGGTTCAAACTCTGGCAGGTGCAACATCCCGGATCTTGAATAATATAATTCGGGAGCGGGGCGGGTTGAGGCAGTGGGGCAGCGTGGGCGCGTGCGGCGGCCTTGGCCTTAGCGGGTTGGAGCGGGGGCCGTTCCCGCTCTGATACCAGTGTGTCGGACCCGGTGGTCCGTCAAGGTGGAGAAGAAGGGTTGATGAAGGAGGAGGTAGAGATGGAGCTGGAAGGGACAGCGCAGCTCCGATGCAGACTCAACACGCACGTACTCCAAGATGTGCAAATGTGAAGAATGATATGAAAAACATACAACAGTTGGGGTATACCCCCAGCGGACTGACTGGACTGAATTGGACTGACCTGGTACCGACAGTGGTACCAGGCAGGATTGGACTGGAATGGAATAGCACACGGCCTGGCCCCATAGGCCGAACTGGCAAATAGCCAAATAGGCCCTGGCTGTAGGCCAGGGTAGATGGAGGCCCACTGCATACACAGAGCACATCACTATCTGCTATGGAAGAAATCGGGGTACAACAACAAAGGTCCCCTAATGGCCAACCCTCCTTCCACTTAAGTATGAGTTCTACCCCTATCAAGGACAAGAAAGTTAATATAGACAAATACGGATGGATTATCTCCAGCCCCACTGGAGTGCAGTAGAAAATCCCACTCTTTGAATACTCTGCGAAAGTCGGTTACAACCTACACTCTCAATCCCAATCTCTGCAATTTGGACTCACTCTCAACTGGCAATAACGGGCATCTTCTCTCAAACTTTCCCCTATTACACACACATGGCTACTGTCCTTTATCCATATCATATTGTCCTCTCTAGAGACTAGAGTAGGAGACCTTCAATGGCTCCATCTTCACTCATGTGTTCCCACCACCATGTGGTGTGCAGAGAAAGGTATGGAGATCCCGACGATATGCGACATCTGTCCCCACCGCTCTTTGGAAGACTGGCTTCACCTCCGGTGGGAATGTGTCATAGCGAGAGCTTCTGGGACCTTTTCAACAAGCTCCGGATCCAAGCCTATGAACTAAAGGGATTTTGGAATCATAATTTTGTGATCACCGGCAGGATGGACACCCAACTCCAGGGCCAACAAATAGGTCAGATATCCCTTTTCTTCAGAGCAAGGGCCTTCTGATCCCTGTGGATAGCCAGAAGAGACCGGACGTTCCTAGACACTAGGACGCCTCTTCCATTCTTACCAGCGCAATTTAAACATGATATACGCCTCGACATAATGGCAGGTTGGGTCAGATTCAGGAACAAGTCTCTGTCTGCAGACGTAACTTCAACTCAGAGATGGTCAGCTCCCTTTCAGTGGCAGACCTGTTACCCAATAATAAACTAATCTATTCAGATATCTTGTGGGATCACCCAGCTATTAGATCTTAAACTACTGTAAAGTTGACAGCCAATAGTTACTGAGAGGATATACCAGTTAGGATTTATTACCACTAAAGATGGAAGCCTTTATCGTTGCTCCTCCCCGGCCCTCCTCTCTCCTTATAACCTGTCTCAGACGCACTTACCTCAACACTAATGCCCTTTTTGCTTTAATCTAGTATCTAGAACCGATAAAATACAATAGGTAGCGGCTTCGTCAATACTGAGGTACAAAGACTGAAATACTATGCTGCGTCAGAAATAATTAGTTCATAGTATGTTCGAGTCCCACTTGTGAGGCTAGCAGGCCACGCAGTTCGGACAGCCAAGAGTAGGGGGTTGAAAGGAAGCGGGAGGCTGGTTTTGTTGATTGTCGCTGACTCGTAAAATTCATTCAAAAGTTTTTTGGCGGACTACTTCTATTCTTCTTCTTCGAACAATGTGGTGGAGAAGGTCGGCTCGTCGAAGAAATACGAATAGTTGAAGTCTGCTTTTAACCATTATGGGATTGGGTTAGGTTGCTTGTCTACTGGTTTCATCTTTTGAAGAAAAAAAAAAATCTAAAAAAAGAGATCTCAGGGTTGACCATACGCGGATGGCTGATTGGTGTTCTTAAGAATGTTTTTGGACTCCGGGGATTCCTAGCAACTCTTCTTAGGTGGCTTCGATGCTGTTATACTCAGTGACATGCGGCTGTTCGATGCCAGAATGACGCTGGCCGGTGTTGGGATGTTGTCCTGTGACCTGTGGATGCAGGAGCGTGAAGCCTGGTAGAGAGATCTAGGGATGCTTTGGGGTGGGCATTCCACGGGACAACTAAGGGTTGCTGTTGGGACGATGTTGGACGGAGCTGGGGTGAGTTGTGTTGCATTGTAACCCAGCAGGATGTGGGGGTGTGAGACCTGGAAGAGCTCGGGAGGGAGTAGGACAGTGTTGGAGTGCTTTGGAAGGGTTTGTTAGGGATTTCAAGGGTTTTGAGCATTTGTAGGACCTATGCGGTCTATTTCTAGGTTTTATGTTTTGCTCAGACATTTTTCAAGAGACCGAGGTGAGTGAGAGAAGGAGAAGGTGGGATATTATGCGTCCTACTAGTAAGGGGGCTACCTGGTAGGACGGGAATAGGGCACAGCAGCAGCGGAGATGGTGGCTCTGCTGCAGTAAGTCTTGCCAGAGTGGGGTACAGGGAATGGATTGGGGGTGTCTGAGTCTTTTTCTGAATGGTGAAAAAAAGAGGTGAGTGGGAGAAGTAGATGGTGGGATATCAAGCGTCCTACTAGTGCGGGGGCTAGCTGGTAGGATGGAAATAGGGTACATCAGCAACGGAGATGGTGGCTCTGCTGCAATAAGTCTTACCTGAGTGAGGTAAAGAGGATTGATGGGGGGGCTTCTGAGTCGTTTTCTGAATTTTGCTCAATTCTGAAGTCTGTCGTAATAATTTCCTAAGTAGCTCTAATTTTTCTTAGCCAAAGCTGGGTAATGGCCCCGGTATCTCAAACTTTCAAAATCCGATGCAAATTTCCATATGGAACACTGGGCCCGGTTCCCAGCACATGCTGCTCCCCACGAATAGATTGAAGCCTTGTTCCCAWAAAAAAAAAAAAAAAAAAAAAAATCGGGTAATGATTCCGGTGTCCGCAATTGCTTTCAATTTTCAAGATGTGTTCTTCCGGGTAGAATGTAGGGACCCCGGCCCCGACATGCAACTTCCAAATTATATAAGGGACGCTGGGCCCGGTTCCCAGCATATGTTGCTCCCCACAAATAGAACTCCCTTCCCTCCGACTCCCCCCCCCTGACCCCTTTGCCGCCCCCCCCACCTCCTCAGGACACTCCCCTCCTACACCCCTTTCCCCTTTGTCCCTCCCTGCTGGTACCTCGC